ACAACCACCACCGGCACTGGGAAGACTCTGTTACCACCGCCATATCTAGGAGTTGCAGATTCTTTTCATCAGAAAACCGCAGTGAAATCTGATAGGTGTCTCAAATTTTTGTTAGACATTCAAGATAGCTTGTATTTTTTTTATTTTTATTTTTGTAAATAAAGAGGGGCTAAGCCCGATAGCTTGTATTTTTTAATCAGGTTTAGGCTTTTAAAAAAAATTATTTAAAATTAAAACATAGGTCCACTTTAAAATGTCTGGCCTAAAAAGTTGCAGACTATAATTTTTTTAATAATATAATATATTTATGATATATATTATTCACTTAAAGATATGCTTTAATATATGATTTGTAACACTAATTTTCAAAGTAATAGGATTTACGTTATTTTAACAAATAATAAATATTTAATTATTTACGTGATGGGAAGTGGGACATTCAATGCCTTGTCTGTCACCACAAATGGTCATTTAATTATTCGATTTAAAAATTAAAATTCGATTTTAAAAGAAATTTTTTTTCCCACCATCCATATTTAAATTCAAAATTTTAAACCATTTCAAATTTTGAATTTTAGATCCGATGACCAATTCCAGCATAAAAAACAATTAAAACAGCTGATTTCTTTTTGGGTACCAATGTGATGGGCAGTGGGACATTCAATGCCTTGTCTGCCACCACAAATGGTCATTTAATTATTCGATTTTTAAAAGAATTTTTTTTTCAAATTTACCCAATAAAGAAAGTTTGTATATGACATGTAGTGTGAATACAATTTGTAGAATTGACCAGGGAGTGACACTTGGCTAAACTTTCCAACATTGAACTCTCCTTTATATATATATAGATATAGATATTATCAACATTTATTATAGTTATAACTGGTGACACAATTTCATTAAAAGAACTACAATACTTGTCGCTCCTAACGTAAGTGCTTCAGCTCTAAAAAGAGGTAATTCCTCAAATCATATTCTTTTTCGGGAACAGTGTTTAAAGTGCCATTTTTTGTTAAATTTTTTATCCAAATGCCACACGAACAGTATTTTTTACCAGACTGCCACATGTCATAATTCGCTGCCACTAAAGCGAATTTCGTAGCCAATAATTTTGTGACACATCTCCATATTGCAGATCAAATTTGCTACTACTGATAGCGAAATATGACACGTCGGTTTTTTTCTGCGAAAGTGTACCACGTGTCATGAAATTATTGACGAACATAATTCGCTATCAGTCGTAGCGAATTATGCCCACGTGACAATTTGATAAAATATACTGTTTATATGGTATTTAGATAAAAAAATTTGTCCAAAAATAACATTTTGGTGACTGTTCCTGTTTTTCCTCACGTGCTTTCGATTGATTTAATGAGAAATTAACTGTCTCGTTTTTCCTTTTTGTTTTGTGGTTGACTATTTCATTAATGTTTGTCAAATCAAGTTTTTAACTTCTTTTCACTGATTGATTGATTCCTCCTTAACTTCTTGGGGAGGGGGCTGAACCTTTAGCCATCACTGTTTCCCCGCACTCCGGATTAGTCCCATAGCCGGCTCAAAGAGTCGAAGCTCGTGGGGATACCGGAGGGAGCCAACTCGTCTCAAAGAGATAATTAGGGTTGGATAACTCCAAAAAAAAAAAAAAAATTGATTCCTCCTTAACCTTCTCCCTTGAAAAGCAAATCAATTTTTTAAATGGTACTTTTTTTTTCGCTTTAGTTTGTAATTTCTTCCATTAATAATAATGTTAAAAATCTATTCCCCTCTCTCTCTGATTATTCCTTTTTTTTTCTCATATCTTTTTTTTTTGTTTTTTGTTTTAGTAAACAATAATAATAATAAAATAATAACTTAGATCAATTCATTTAAAGATCCCACTCTATATACGCAGATAGAGTGTGAAGACCTAAATATATCATATCTGAGCTAGAACACGGATATAGAGAAGATACCAATGAAGGTATCTTAGTTACAAAGGTAGAGAGTGAAGCAAATACATACATCATCAACATGGCTGTTGAAGCTGGTCATCTCAACCTCTTCCACCCTCAACTCATAGGCAACTGCAACTGGTATATGTACCCTTTTATCTCTCTGTTCTTTGTTTTTGGGTCTGTTATGCAATGTCTCGAAAATCAAACTTGTTGTGAGATGAATCTACAGGGAAAGGATGAACCCATTGAGTAATAATTGTTCACAGCTGCCACTATCTGGAACCACCACCACCGGCACTGGGAAGACTCCGTTACCACCGCCATATCTAGGAGTTGCAGATTCTTTTCATCAGAAAACCGCAGTGAAATCTGATAGCTGTCTCAAATTTTTGTTAGACATTCAAGATAGCTTGTATTTTTTTTATTTTTATTTTTGTAAATAAAGAGGGGCTAAGCCCGATAGCTTGTATTTTTTAATCAGGTTTAGGCTTTTAAAAAAAATTATTTAAAATTAAAACATAGGTCCACTTTAAAATGTCTGGCCTAAAAAGTTGCAGACTAGCCTTTTAATTTTTTTAATAATATAATATATTTATGATATATATTATTCACTTAAAGATATGCTTTAATATATGATTTGTAACACTAATTTTCAAAGTAATAGGATTTACCTTATTTTAACAAATAATAAATATTTATTTAAAATTTAAAATATAATATAAAATTAAATTAGTAAAGAAAGTGCAAAATGTACATACACATATATGAAATTTTTGTGTGATATTTATGAACATTTTCATATGATTTTTATGAACATTATTTTATGTATTGTTAATGAAAAAATTATTTCATTCGATTTTTGTGAATAAAATATTTTATCTTTTATATTTCAGTATGGTTTGGGCGTATAACTTAGTAGGCCTTACAGGCCGTGTTAGGCTTTTTAATTTTTTATAATAGGTTAGGACATACCTTTAAATCAAGCCTTTGATAGGCAAAAGACCAATATAGACTCTAAATATTTTACATAAGCTTAGGCTATCAGTGGCAAAGCTTAGGGGTGTTCATCAACTGATCCAAACCGATTCAAACTAAGTTAACCGAACCGAAAAATCAAAAACCAAATTAACCAAAAAATTGAAAACCGAAAACAAACCCGCTAAATTTAATTGGATTGGATCGGTTGTTGGATTGGTTGGTGAAAATCGATCAAATGATTCCCCAACCTTACCATCTACCTACTTGGGCCTTATCCCAATCATAGCCCAGTAAATCATATAGCAAAATTCTAAATTCAAGACCCATTACTCATCATGTTGGAGAAATTGGATTGTACTTGATCTAATTTTTTTTTTTTGATAAGATACATAATATTTTTTTATTACATAGGTTATTGTTGTATAGCAGCTCCTCAATATGATGAAAATTTGGGTTACTTCGTATCTCAGGCAACCATATTATGAATTTTTTGTTAGATGTAAAAGATGGTAATTTAACTTTTTGTTATACAATGCTTCTAGACTGCACAATAATCATCATACAAACTTTACAATGCCGATATATACAAAAGATATGTTATTTGCACAATAATCATCATACAAATCTTAGGCTTTTCAAAAAATCAAAAATCGATCCAATCCAAACCGAATGGATGATTACATGATTAAACCGAAGGGATTTGATTAGATGATTTTTGCTTATAAAATCGATCCAATCTAGATCCCGAACACCCCCAGCAAAGCTTGGCCTAACCTAGTCCATTTACACCCATAGTTGTAGGACACCAAATGTCTCCTCCAGTAGACACAAATCAAGTGTGGGCCTCACACTTAAAAAAAATTGGCTGGCACGAAAATGATCTCTGTGAGGGAGAAAGAATCTGTTTCCTGTCACGGGAGAACATGATTTCCTATAAAAGATTTGGTCTTTTGTCGCATGAGAGCATGATTTCCTATAAAACGATCATTGTGCATGAGAAAGAATCTGCTTCATGTCGTAGGAGAGCATGATTTCCCGTAAAAGATTTGGTCTTTTGTATAATTCTATTTTTTTTTGTCGAAAATAATTTCTTTACTTTCAAATAACTGAAATTAATAAAAAAAATTTATTGAAAATATTTTTTATGATATTTCTTTCAATCTTTTAGTTATGTTGTTTAATTATTCTAATATAATAATCTAAAAATTTACTTTTTTAAAAAAAATTGTTTTATATACACACTTGCCATATGAACAATTATTAATAATTAACTTAGTTTTTTTACACCTAATTAATTAGACACCATATTTAATTATAAGTTCGATAAGAAAATTTATGATATGATCTTAGGGTGCGTTTGCTAAGCATTTTTTATTTTGTTTTTTAATAAAATTGTTTCATGAAATTAAAAAAAAAAAAACATACAGTGACCCCTTTTGTAACACCCTCCCTTGTATGCATCCAAAAGAGTTGTTTGCTAAGCGGATTAGAGACGTGTGAAATCTCGTTTAGTAAAAAAAAAATCATTTAATATCAATTAGAAAAGCTTGCTTCGACACTGATTTGGAGAAATAAATCAGCAAGAAAATTCAAAAAGGCTTTCGCTGCGAAACTCTGATTTTTCCCGAAAACAATCTGTCTTGAAAATATTATAAAAAATCCGAGTACAAAAATTTACAAAACTTGTCTTTGCTACTAAGAAACTAGACATCTGGGGCTTCGCGTACATATAAATTATACGCGAATCGGAGGCCTCACGAAACAGAAATATTTTTCTCATACATACATACATATATCTCAAGTCACGTGAGATATATTTCTCTGGTCGGGTTAGGTTTTGGTCCCGACTCGACCCAACTTGATTTTTATAGGTCAGGTATTTTGACCCGACCCACTTTAATACCTGACTTGGATCAAATTAAAGTCAGACCTGACTTGGATCAAATTAAAGACAATAACTAATCTTTACAATGTATTGTAACTACCCACTATATTCCTAATGAGTATTTACCACAAGGTCTTTCACCCACTAGGTGCTCCACTCCTCCTCTTCGTAACACAAACCTTATCCCTTTCTCTCTCGTTACCTCATCTTGTACGCATAGGATAGGTAAACCGTTGGAATTGTTAGTCACTTGGTTCAGATTTGTGAACAGCATTGTATCCTCCTTCTTTCCACGCCTGGCCGTAGGTTAGTTGGGAGAAGAATACAAGAACAAAATCAAAATCTGATTCACCTCCACCCTCTCATCACCCCAACCGTACACCCACTAAGCTTATCAACCATGGATTGAGTTTCAATACCACACTCTCTTCTCTTATGCTCCAGGAAAATCGTGTGTTAATTGAGAGGGGAACTATCATCTAAGTTCCCGGTCATGTCCTCCCTAGTTCGCATGAGTTGCAGCAGCCATGGTGAAGCTCAAAATTTCACCTACTTCTTTCCTATCCTTTGGTTCGGCCGAAATTCCAACCTCTAAGAAGGTAACCTGTCTTCTTTACATCTCTGCCCCTTCTTCATTCATTTCGATTTGAAAAAGGGTTCTCACCTTGCATGCGCATGATCTGGTCTGAATTAGTGTTGCCTTCTTTTGCATGCAAATGATGAATTGAGCTGGACCTTTATTCCTTCCTTCCCTCGGGCACACAGCTAAAAGTAGAAGTAAGTCAATTATTAAACCCTTCTTTGTTCTTTAATTGTTCGGCCCCTCATGTATGATAGGAAAGTAATTTTGTTTGTGCCATTTCCTCCCTGAAATCTGTCAATAGGTACATCCTTAGAAATTGATGCATGTGAACCTAAACCAAAAATTTTGAATTTGGAAATAACCCCTTATAAATTGTTGGATTGCTTCTTGGATCGGAAAACCTTATTTGGCCTTGCAATTGCTAATACGCTTAGGGGCAGCATGTGTACGGTCTTGGTAGCACAACTTGTGATTGCAAGTCTTGTTATGTTAAAATAAAAAGGATGAACCTTGATAACTTGTGGTAGGATTAAAATTAAAAGCAGAAAACTTAATCAGCCTTGGAGTTAGTACCTATAAATCTTGCTTAATTAAATTGTGAGTTTGGAGATAGTTTCTTTATTATTGGGCTGCCATTGGATTAGCCAAATTAAGTAGGTTTTGCATGTACGAGACTTAGGTGTACAACATCCTTAGGAGTCCTCTAAACGCACCTTAGGCAGTGTAGAAATGGTTGTAAAATTGAATGAATCATGAACACTTCTAACGGTCCAAACCGAACAAGGATGTATTAGAGCACTTGGATGTTTCATTGTTAACCGATTGGTGTGTTAGCTTTCAGCCAGACAACCTATCTAGTCTAGGAATTATGAGAATAGGTTAAGAATTGGAGAACATTTTATTTGGGCACTTCCTTTAAATTCTGCCTTCTTAGAACAGCCTAAGAATGTAAGGCATGTAGGCCTTAAAACAAATTTTTGTGAACAGCCATGAAACTAGTTTATGCAAACTGAAATTGATTTCCTTGGGAGCTGGAAATAGAGCTCCTCAATAGCCTTGGACCGTCCTTGAAGAGAACCAAAAATATGTGATCTTGCATGTGTAGGAGAACCGAGTACAACATGCTAAATTGTTAATCTTTCATGCCTTAATGATGTCACTAGAAGTTTGATATAGGAAAAATAGCGAGCACCTATTTAAGGGCCTAAAACCGAATCTGCTTGAACATAGTATCTTGGGATTTTGTTGTGGTTTCTTATCGGCTGACAGAATAAAATGTAGGACAAAAATTAATAATGCAAGAAGCATGATGACCTAATTAAACACTAGAGATTGGAAGACATTGACATGGCATGCGAATAATAGGATTATAAGAATAAAGATCCTTAATGTATTTTAATGATGAAAACCGAATTTGTATAGATTGGAAGCTTTGAGTCCTTTTGCTGTTAATGAATTATTAAATGAATATGAAATCAGAATTTGATTTTGTAAAATAGGCATGATAAACCGAATAAGTACAGGGACTAGGAGGCAGAGCATATTTGTTGCTGAATTGTTTAATTGTATGAGTAAAATTCTGATTTAACTGCACTCTTGCTTAGGTGCGAATAACTCTTGAGTGTGGGCTGATTGTTGCTGCTATTTAATAAATAATTGTGGCATTCGAGGTATGTGTTAGGTGGTATTACCTGATGTGACTATTAACCAGTGTATGAATTGTGAATTGTTTCTCACATGTGCCTTATGATTATTCTGCCATAATTGATGAATTATTCTGCCTATGGAAATGTTATGATTATGGAAATTCTGTTAGGAAAAGAAAGTATGGCTTGGCAGTATGATATCTCATATACATGAAATATATGTTATGACAATGATGATATAAGCATGCACCTTGCATCATATCGCATTTGTTTTCTGTTTGTGTGTGACAGCATAGCATGGCATGCATACTATAGGCATCCCTGTGACTGAGCACGCATCATATAGGCATCCCTCGGTACCAGGGTATGGGACACTTGGCATCCGTTCGCATAGGTCACAGTGGGATTCAATAAATGAAGGTGCCGTTGCATGGAATTCCCACTGTGTATGCACGCGCACGACGGTGCTATGAGCGTGAAGAAGGCGTTATATACGCAATATGATATATGATGAAAAGGAACTATGATGAAAAGGATTTAATGTTTGTAGCGACTGTTTATAATTTTGTGCTTAGCAAACGCACCCTAAGATCATATCATAAATTTTCTTATCGAACTTATAATTAAATATGGTGTCTAATTAATTAGGTGTAAAAAAACTAAGTTAATTATTAATAATTGTTCATATGGCAAGTGTGTATATAAAACAATTTTTTTTAAAAAAGTAAATTTTTAGATTATTATATTAGAATAATTAAACAACATAACTAAAAGATTGAAAGAAATATCATAAAAAATATTTTCAATAAATTTTTTTTATTAATTTCAGTTATTTGAAAGTAAAGAGATTATTTTCGACAAAAAAAAAATAGAATTATACAAAAGACCAAATCTTTTACGGGAAATCATGCTCTCCTACGACATGAAGCAGATTCTTTCTCATGCACAATGATCGTTTTATAGGAAATCATGCTCTCATGCGACAAAAGACCAAATCTTTTATAGGAAATCATGTTCTCCCGTGACAGGAAACAGATTCTTTCTCCCTCACAGAGATCATTTTTCGTGCCAGCCAATTTTTTTTAAGTGTGAGGCCCACACTTGATTTGTGTCTACTGGAGGAGACATTTGGTGTCCTACAACTATGGGTGTAAATGGACTAGGTTAGGCCAAGCTTTGCTTGGGGTGTTCGGGATCTAGATTGGATCGATTTTAGAAGCAAAAATCATCTAATCAAATCCCTTCGGTTTAATCATGTAATCATCCATTCGGTTTGGATTGGATCGATTTTTGATTTTTTGAAAAGCCTAAGATTTGTATGATGATTATTGTGCAAATAACATATCTTTTGTATATATCGGCATTGTAAAGTTTGTATGATGATTATTGTGCAGTCTAGAAGCATTGTATAACAAAAAGTTGAATTACCATCTTTTACATCTAACAAAAAATTCATAATATGGTTGCCTGAGATACGAAGTAACCCAAATTTTCATCATATTGAGGAGCTGCTATACAACAATACCCTATGTAATAAAAATATATTATGTATCTTATCAAAAAAATAAAATTAGATCAAGCACAATCCAATTTCTCCAACATGATGAGTAATGGGTCTTGAATTTAGAATTTTGCTATATGATTTACTGGGCTATGATTGGGATAAGGCCCAAGTAGGTAGATGGTAAGGTTGGGGAATCATTTGATCGATTTTCACCAACCAATCCAAAAACCGATCCAATCCAATTAAATTTAGCGGGTTTGTTTTCGGTTTTCAATTTTTTGGTTAATTTGGTTTTTGATTTTTCGGTTCGGTTACCTTAGTTTGAATCGGTTTGGATCAGTTGATGAACACCCCTAAGCTTTGCCACAGATAGCCTAAGCTTATGTAAAATATTTAGAGTCTATATTGGTCTTTTGCCTATCAAAGGCTTGATTTATAGGTATGTCCTAACCTATTATAAAAAATTAAAAAGCCTAACACGGCCTGTAAGGCCTACTAAGTTATACGCCCAAACCATACTGAAATATAAAAGATAAAATATTTTATTCACAAAAATCGCATGAAATAATTTTTTCATTAACAATACATAAAATAATGTTCATAAAAATCATATGAAAATGTTCATAAATATCACACAAAAATTTCATATATGTTTATATACATTTTGCACTTTCTTTACTAATTTAATTTTATATTATATTTTTAATTTTAAATAAATATTTATTATTTGTTAAAATAACGTAAATCCTATTACTTTGAAAATTAGTGTTACAAATCATATATTAAAGCATATCTTTAAGTAGGGGTGTTCGCGGTCTGGATTGGATCGGTTTTGGAAGCAAAACTCATCCGATCCAATCCCTTCGGTTTGATCATGTAATCATCCATTCGGTTTAGATTTTTTTTTTAAATCCGATCCGATCCAATCCGATTTTTTTCGGTTTAGATTGGATCGGTTTTCGGTTTTTTGAATATCCTAAAATTAGTTTCATTATTATTGTGCAAATAACATCTTTTGTATATATTGGCTTTGTAAAAAAAAAATTGAAATACAAAAATATCAGTAAACAATACTATAGTTGATGAGACGAGACTAAGTTTTTTTTTGGGTTTAGTTGATGAGTTAATGGGTCTTGAGTTTAGAAATTTTTGGGCTATGATTGGAGAAAGTACAAGTAAGTAGAGGATAATTAATATATTGGATCGGTTTGGATTGGATCGGTTTTCATCAACCCATCCAAAAACCGATCCAATCCAATTAAAATTTGCGGTTTTCTTTCGGTTTCCGATTTTTCGATTTTCGGTTTATTCGGTTATCGGTTTTTCGGTTCGGTTTTCACGGTTTGAATCGGTTTGGATCGGTTGATGAACACCCCTATCTTTAAGTGAATAATATATATCATAAATATATTATATTATTACAAAAATTATAGTCTGCAACTTTTTAGGCCAGACATTTTAAAGTGGACCTATGTTTTAATTTTAAATAATTTTTTTTAAAAGCCTAAACCTGATTAAAAAATACAAGCTATCTTTAACGTCTAACAAAAATTTGAGACAGCTATCAGATTTCACTGCGGTTTTCTGATGAAAAGAATCTGCAACTCCTAGATATGGCGGTGGTAACAGAGTCTCCCCAGTGCCGGTGGTGGTGGTTCCAGATAGTGACAGCTGAGAACAATTATTACTCATCACCTTGATTGTTGTAAAGATTGATGTTTGACTCAATGGGTTCATCCTTTCCCTGTAGATTCATCTCACAACAAGTTTAATTTTCGAGACATTGCATAACAGACCCAAAAACAAAGAACAGAGAGATAAAAGGGTACATATACCAGTTGCAGTTGCCTATGAGTTGAGGGTGGAAGAGGTTGAGATGACCAGCTTCAACAGCCATGTTGATTATGTATATATTTGCTTCACTCTCTACCTTTGTAACTAAGATATCTTCGTTGGTATCTTCACTATATCAGTGTTCTAGCTCAGATATGATATATTTGGGTCTTCACACTCTATCTGCGTATATAGAGTGAGATCTTTAAATGAATTGATCAAGTTATTATTTTATTATTATTATTGTTTACTAAAAAAAAAAAAACAAAAAAGATATGAGAAAAAAAAAGGAATAATCAAAGAGAGAGGGGAATAGATTTTTAACATTATTATTAATGGAAGAAATTACAAACTAAAGCAAAAAAAAATGTATCATTTAAAAAATTGATTTGCTTTTCAAGGGAGAAGATGAAGGAGGAATCAATCAATCAGTGAAAAGAAGTTAAAAACTTGATTTGACAAAAATCAATGGAATAGTCAACCAAATTAACACAAAAAGGAAAAACGAGAGACAGTTAATTTCTCATTCAATCAATCGAAAGCACGTGAGGAAGAACAGGAACAGTCACCAAAATGTTATTTTTGGACAACTTTTTTTATCTAAATACCATATAAACAGTATTATTTAACAAATTGTCACGTGGGCATAATTCGCTACGACTGATAGCGAATTATGTTCGTCAATAATTTCATGACACGTGGTACACTTTCGCAGAAAAAAAACCGACGTGTCATAATTCGCTATCAGTAGTAGCGAATTTGATCTGCTTATTGGCAACGAAATTCGCTGCAGTGGCAGCGAATTATGACATGTGGCAGTCTGGTAAAAAATACTGTTCGTGTGGCATTTGGATAAAAAATTTAACAAAAAATGGCACTTTAAACATTGTTCCCCAAAAAGAATATGATTTGAGGAATTACCTCTTTTTAGAGCTGAAGCACTTTCGTTAGGAGCGACAAGTATTGTAGTTCTTGTAATAAAATTGTGTCACCAGTTATAACTATAATAAATGTTGATAATATCTATATCTATATATATAAAGGAGAGTTCAATGTTGGAAAGTTTTGCCAAGTGTCACTCCCTGGTCAATTCTACAAATTGTATTCACACTACATGTCATATACAAACTTTCTTTATTGGGTAAATTGGAAAAAAAATTCTTTTAAAAATCGAATTTTAAATTTTAAATCGAATAATTAAATGACCATTTGTGGTGGCAGACAAGGCATTGAATGTCCCACTGCCAATCACATTGGTATCCAAAAAGAAATCAGCTATTTTAATTGCTTTTTATGTTGGAATTGGTCATCTAATCTAAAATTCAAAATTTGAAATGGTTTAAAATTTTGAATTTAAATATGGATGGTGGGAAAAAAAATTCTTTTAAAATCGAATTTTAATTTTTAAATCGAATAATTAAATAACCATTTGTGGTGGCAGACAAGGCTTTGAATGTCCCACTGCCCATCACATTGGTATCCAAACAGAAATCAGCTGTTTTAATTGCTTTTTATGTTGGAATTGGTCATCTGATCTAAAATTCAAAATTTGAAATGGTTTAAAATTTTGAATTTAAATATGGATGGTGGGAAAAGAATTACTTTTAAAAATCGAATTTTAATTTTTAAATCGAATAATTAAATGACCATTTGTGGTGGCAGACAAGGCATTGAATGTCCCACTGCCCATCACATTGGTATCCAAAAAGAAATTAGCTGTTTTAATTGCTTTTTATGTTGGAATTGGTCATCTGATCTAAAATTCGAAATTTGAAATGGTTTAAAATGTTGAATTTAAATATGGATGGTGGGAAAAGAATTACTTTTAAAAATCGAATTTTAATTTTTAAATCGAATAATTAAATGACCATTTGTGGTGGCAGACAAAACATTGAATGTCCCACTCCCCATCACGGTGGTATCCAGTAAGAAATCAGCTGTTTTAATTGCTTTTTATGTTGGAATTTGTCATCTGATCTAAAATTCAAAATTTGAAATGGTTTAAAATTTTGAATTTAAATATGGATGGTGGGAAAAGAATTACTTTTAAAAATCGAATTTTAATTTTTAAATCAAAAAATTTAATAACCATTTGTGGTGGCAGACAAAACATTGAATGTCCCACTCCCCATCACGGTGGTATCCAGAAAGAAATCAGCTGTTTTAATTGCTTTTTATGTTGGAATTTGTCATCTGATCTAAAATTCAAAATTTGAAATGGTTTAAAATTTTGAATTTAAATATGGATGGTGGGAAAAGAATTACTTTTAAAAATCGAATTTTAATTTTTAAATCGAATAATTAAATGACCATTTGTGGTGGCAGACAAGGCATTGAATTTCCCACTACCCATCACATTGGTATCCAAAAAGAAATCAGCTGTTTTAATTTCTTTTTATGTTGGAATTGGTCATATGATCTAAAATTCAAAATTTGAAATGGTTTAAAATTTTGAATTTAAATATGGATGGTGGGAAAAAGAAATTCTTTTAAAATGGAATTTTAATATTTATATCCAAAAAATTAATAACCATTTGTGGTGGCAGACAAGGCATTGAATGTCCCACTTCCCATCACATTGGTATCCAGAAAGAAATC